CTTTCCTATCCACATCCAGCACACTAGCTGTACTGAGCAAGTTACACACCATGGCTCAGAGAAACAAAGGAGAAAGAGCTGCACAGGGGCAGGAGCCAAGGGCCCAGCGCCCCTCTCTTCCAGTAGGGTCCATGAAGGGCTGCACGCAGAGCCAGAACAGAGACGCTGTATTTTTCAATCATACCAAAAATAAATAAATAAAAAAAAATCCTTAAAAATAAATAAATAATTGAAATAATTGTTTGTTTCTTATGATTTGGAAAGGACAAAGAGGTGGAGCTCTTGAAAAGTCTTTCTGCGGGCATTAATCTTGTAAAAATCAGTGTGACTGCCTCGTGTGGCTTTTCTTGGAGCTATTTAAGATGTTCCAGTATTTGCAGATCAAAAATATTCATATCAAAATTATCTGCCAATGCTACAACGGTACTGATGCATTGCACATTTAAGATAAGACATTACAGGGAAGCAAGAAAACTTCAAAACAAGGCCAAGGAGATTATCACTTTGCAGAAAATTAAAAGCTACATGGCTTTAAAGAATACTGAAAAATCTGCCTTATGCATTAGCCAAAATATATTTCTCCATTAGCTCTAATGAAAGAAGCAGGCCCTCATGTCGTACAGTTTTCCTGAACGGTGAAAAAAGAGTCGTCCATTAAGCACACTCACATTTACAATTTCAGTGTCACCTCAGGAGAGCAATATACATAGGGAACTGAGGAATAACACCTGCAGTGTGACTGCAAGGCCAAAGGCTATCACTGATGTCAGATAACACTGCGCACTTCTCCGATACGTTTTATATGTTCGGCCAATAATACGGTTCACCTGGAGATCTTCAAGCATTGCACCAAGATTAACGGCTGACACAGAGAAAGGCACAGGCAGCTCAGATAACTTTTGAGTTATCAGGCATCTCCTTCATTTAACCACACTTACTTCCACGCTGACTATTGTGCCAGCTCTACACAAATCTATGACCATTTCACCACTTACCATTCCATTAGGGACATTGAAAAATTAATGACAGTCTAGGTCTGATATCAGCTTCAGTGATCACTCTGGCTCATTAGAGTTTTAGACCTTTCCTCCTTTCAGCATTACCACTAAGCAGATCAGGGGAGAAAACACAGTTTCTGTCTACCAGAGCACACACTCGTCCTCTTTCTTTCACTCACTGTCAAAAGTCTTCTTCTATCTTCTGCTGCAGGAAAGCTCTTTGGGCTGTGCCTGTGAAGCCACAATAGAAGGAGCACTGCGTGACCACCTGCACACATCCAAGCAGGTCCCTTCACGTGAGCACAGCTCTCCAGACTCGTAAGTTGTTTGGACTGAGACTGTGCCATGTTCAGCAAACGTTTCACCCAACTCTCCCTTCTTACTTTACACATTATTAAAGGTTGTGCACCTTTCTACTGCAATAAATTAATGGCAGAAATCCCACTGACATCACTGAGGACAGGTGATAAACAGAAATCACTGGAAACGCTTCAATACCATTTACTCCACTTACATTATTTTATTACTGTGGCTTCGTATTCTGCAGGTCACAGTGAAATACAGCCACATGTAAGGCCTCAGGTAACAGAACAGTACCTCTGTGCATATCTGTTACACACCACAAAAGGCAGCACCCGGGTTCTTTCACAGCCGTTAAGCTTAGGGCACAGTTATTCTGCAAATACACAGAAAATTTGAACAATTTACACTTTCTAAGATCAGTCCATCTGAAATTTCCTACTGTGCTGACAGAAGTCAGAAACAGCTTGGGCAACTGTGTTTAGAGTCAGAGTGAAAAACTGTATTACTGAGTCACAGGTGCACTTGCAAGCCTACCTGAAGACAAACACACAGCATACATAGCAGTGCCACAGATCTTCCAGGACTGCTTTCTACGGGGGAAAGTACTGACAAGAAAAGTCTCTATGAGTTTGATATGTTATTAGCCAGCTATCGTTTTCCAATATGAACCAATCTCATTTACACAGAACGGTGAGGATGGGACTTGAACACGAGATGCTGCTTCCAACCCATGAGAATGCCTGTCTTTGCTCAGCCCTGCAGTGCTGCTGGACACATCCTGTGCCTCGGGAAGGAAAGCTTTGCCACTCAGGCTTCTGAGGCCTGGATTTCAATCCTTGTTGTAATACTGTGCAACAAAAACACCATTATCTTAGACCTTTACATGAAATATGGTGATGACTACGGCACAAGCAAGCATTCAGATTGGATTCTGTAATCTTTTCTATACAACTGAAGTGTATACCTGGAGTGACAAGGTACTGCACCTTAAATGGAGCTGCAGGCTTCAATGATTCCTGCAATATTCACACTAAGATCCTCTGCCATCACCACTGAGACAACAGCATTAATGATCAACCACACTGGCTGTTCTAGTTACTTCCAAGCTCATTACAAAGGCAGAATCTGTTATCCAGGATCACAGCACAATTCTTCTAGCCCTAACATTACCAGGGCTGAGAGATGGAACTGTACGGGCTTTAGAAGAGCTGCTACAGCATCTCTTTACACGTCTGTAGTTGCTCTCAGGTTGACACCTCTCCTCTGATCTCACCTGAGACAACTGCTGATGTTTCCTTTGCATCCGCTGTAAGTCATCTCTTTGGTTGCTTGCCACTGCCAACGCTCTGTACTTCATACCAAACAGGACAGAAAGACTACAAGGCTAGCTCCAAGCCTGCCAATGATTTACTAAAACACAAAGTTCCACTGCTTATTAGTTAACTGGACTTGACTCGGAAAAAGAAAAATACATGTATTGTTTTTAACTCACTGAAAACAAATTTATTTCAAAACAGAAAGTAGAAGATTCCTAGCAAGAGCTTATTGATTTGAAGACTCTATTCAACACCTGCACTGCCAGGAGTTCAGCTCTGAAGGAAGGAAACAAACAGAAGGGCTTTAATAGTTCTGTAGTACTACAAACTGTGACACCCAGAGAGGGAAAAAAAAGAGAAGTAAAGCTGTGCAAGTACATAAATCTTAGGAAGAACAACTCAATAGTACCTTCAGAAGTTCTTAGAAGAGCAAAAGCAAACAAAAGAGCAGCAAATTAATTATTTTTCTTTGTAGGAACAAATGTTAAACGTTCCTGGAAACAGTACTCGGATTTTTTTTATCAGATTTTGCATGGTTGTTAACTGCTTGATACCTAGCAGCTCCTCTTGTAGAATAAGCAGCATTTTTTCCACAGCATTATGTTGCCTGCATATTATCTTTCACAAATTTTCTTCCACAGATCTGTTTCTGAACCTCACAGGGACTGCAATCACCCAACGTAACACATGCCCTGCAGCCGGGGAACGAGGCAGGCAGTGGAGCTGGGCAATGGGTTACTTGGTTGAAATATCCCTCTGCACACTATGCTCACTCCTGATGATTTCATTCTAATCGTAGCAGAGGGAAACCTGCACTCGGATGCGGTGTCATTAATAAGTAAATAAACGCTGGTAACCCTAGAGTGCAACCTGTATCGATATACAGTGACATCAACTTGATTCTGAAATTCAGCTGTTGTAGGCTTCTGTAAATCATCTTTCAGACAAGATAAGCATGTCTTGTTGTCTGCATTGAATTTCAAACATTAAAAGATCCCTTCACAAGCAATAACAGTGAACATACTGTAGCAATTTGCTCATTGCTATTCCACATCATATTTCAATACAACATGCATTGCAATTAATACTGTGAATAGGATTTCACAATTCATATTGAGAATGCAAAACAGCACAGAGCCCCACATGCCAGGCAGAGCAGGTGAGCTAACAAGGTGCTGCTCTTAGAGCACCTGGCACTCAGATTTTAGCACAGTGCCTGAACAAGCTGCAGAGGTATTTTGAGCCTGAGCTCACCTCGATTTCATTATTTTCCTCTACATCATTTTTTCATTAGCTTGTAATAATCAGTGTATTATGGCAAGTCAAACATTTACACAAAGCAAACAAAAATAAAGGAAGGCTGCTACTACTGGGACCAAGAGCAGCAAATGCTCTCACTAACATCAAGGGAGCCAGTAGAGATTTTATGTAAACTGCCCTGGAGAAACATCTTGGCAGTAAAAGATGTCAAAGGGAACGGCCATGAAAATCTTCTATGAAATCCTGTATCGACTCATGATGGAAAGCCAAAACGTATGTGCCAGGATGAGAATAACTACAGTCTGAGAAGGAAATACCCACTGTTCCCAGCTTTAATGTTTTTCCTCTAAAATTAGGGAATACATGTGAACAAAAAAAATCCACTACTACACACCTGCAACTTCAATTTCTCAGTAGGGAAATAGAGTGAGTGCATGTTGCAAGCTGCACGTATATCTATCTCCAATAGATGATTCCTGCAATTCCAAGTAAGTCTGTTACTGATTCTGTGTAATTTAAAATATTCAAAATAAATTATTAAGTAGGCCATCTGGTTATACGTAGCCTTCCAAGGAACAGACACAAGGAGATGACCGAGTTCCTGAGTTCTGCTGCCCACGGAAGCATGGGCTTCTGTTCTGTCCCTGCCTGGGTAGAGCAGTGCAGAACAGGGTCAGGAAATGAAGCTTACAGGAGACAGATCCCCCTAAATTACACTGGTTTCCTCCTCCGTACGGACAAGTTATCATTGTCAGAATGGCAAATTGTCACCTGGGATCTCTCATCCCCACCTTCATCTACGCCCTCCAAAGGATGAACAGGCTTAAGGAAACCAAACTAGTTTCTTTCCACAAGGGTTTGACTGCTGGAGTCTTCTTGCAGTGAGCAGCCCCAAGGTCCAGGGGTTAACTGAAAATCTTTAGCACGCCTGGGGCCTGAAAGGCTATGTTTTGATGGCAGAGTTGTACTTAATTAAGCACAAGTGGATTTATTAAAAACACTGTTCTTGTCGGTGTTATCTTAGGATATAAATAGGAAGAGAAGTTTAATTAGTTAAGGAAGAAACTTGAGCTAGGTCTCAAATCAAACATTTGATCCATGAAGCAGTAACCCAAGTACTGGTTATTGTCACCTTTTGAATCCTTTATAAGTCAGAGTGACAGCCAGAGCCAACAAGACTACTTTGCCTGGTATCTCCTCAGCTATTTTTCCTTGGCCTAGCTGAGAAAACCATAAAGGTGAGCAGGTGACTTGAGATGAATTAAATGAAATTGATGTGCAGAGCTGCACTGGTAGTAAGTACAATAACCATCGTAAGATTCTGAGCTGAACTCCTGGCATTCTGTGCAGACGGACCTCTCATAGATAAGTATCTGATTTCTTTTTATACTTCAGAGCTGTTGGGGGAGAAGACAAAAAACCTTCTTGGCTTATTTTTCCCACTGCCTATGCTGTTATTGGTATCATCCAATGCCTTGCATTCCAGTAAGACTGCCTATTAGACTGATGGTAATACTGAGTTAAAGAACAGGATGTACTTCAGCAGCATGCAAGTAGTAGATACAAAATAGGTTGAAAGATTGATCGTCAACTCACAACATTATTTCTGTAATCCATCTCATGAAAAAGCATTATTCCAGCATTGCTATTTGTAAAGAAGCACTGTACTAAATCTTCTAATTTACTGAGTAACAGCAGCAATTTCAGACTGATCGATTGGACTCGTCTGCCCTTGGAAGTCTTGTTAGTCATACATTGCTTAAGCCACAGAAAAAATGGTTCTAATGTGCATTTGCATTTCATAAATGTTATTGCAATACACTTTTTAACAGGTTTAAAATGAGCCTCACAGACATTCTAAGCCCTTCTGATATTGCTGCTGCTCTGCGGGACTGCCAAGGTGAGAAAACAATTAACTTGCTAAAAATGTACTATTTTCTGCAACACGTTGCAAGTCTAATTCAGCCCCAAAGGAATACTGAACAAGCACACACGTAATCAGACTTCTGTAGTCTCTCCTGTAGCTGCCACAGTATGTATTTGTTCAGGAGATCTTTACATTGGGGGTGGTCTGAGTCTGTATCCCATCCCTACGTGGCTTCCCTTGGTGTGCGGCAGGGTGCTGTGCAGGATGTAACAGCCATCTCCTGTCAGCCTTTACATACTGTTCGTGTTTGGAACAATTAAACTGTAATGAAGCAGCGTCCTCAGACCATCTAGGCACAGTGAACACAGAGGTCTGGGGTTAATATATTTATTAATTTATTTTCAGCTCCAGATTCCTTTAGTCCCAAAAAATTCTTTCAGATCAGTGGGATGTCTAAAAAGAGTAGTAGCCAGCTCAAGGAGATCTTCCGGATTCTCGACAATGATCAAAGTGGCTTTATTGAGGAAGATGAGCTCAAGTAAGGATTTTCTGTTACCTTGACTAGTAAGAGACTATCCAAAAATCAGCACTTCTTTCTTTCTAAAACTTTTCTGTAAAGGGATGCCTCAGGTTATGCTAAACATTGGTAAAACCCTCAGCAGATTGTCAGCGGTGCATTTGAGTAGATAACCCCCATAGCTAAAGAGCAAAGCAAGAGATGCTCACCCTTCTCCTTAACCTCCTGGGGCTGGTCTCTGGTAGCAGCAGAATCCAGTGCAGTAGGTCTGGACTCACAGAACAGAACTGCACACAGGGAAGATGTAGCTCATCAAACAAAGTAGCGTTTGGAGGACTTGGCTACCATGGCAAATCTTTGTTTACAGATAGTTGCCTTTTTACCTTTTAGCTTTTTGTCACACAGCCAGCAAAAACAATCATAACAAAGGGTGCTTTCCTCCCAGGTATTTCCTTCAGAGGTTTGAGTGTGGAGCAAGAGTGCTAACTGCCTCTGAAACCAAGACTTTCCTGGCAGCTGCAGACCATGACGGGGATGGCAAGATTGGGGCTGAAGGTATTAAATTCTATATAAACAGAAGAAGCTTCTAAGTTATTTGCAATTCCCTTATACGTTGGTGGTTCATTAAGATTCCTTGAGTGACTTTGCTTAAAGCCCTCCAGTACTGACCTGTGTCAGAAACAGTCCCTGATGGTACAGGTTCATCTCTGTAACTCCTTATGCACGAGCAAGTAAAAAAAAAACAACAAAAGCAACACCTGGCTGCCCTAAGGATCCTTCTCATTGCCACTCGCTATAAATTTCCAGTTGCTTAAAAGGAACAGGATTCTGTTTCTCCTCCCACCTACTCTGAAGTAATGCAGCAGGAGCATCACACGTAGCAGCACACACCAGGGCAAAGAACCAGCAGCACCGCCATCCGCTCACCTCCAGCAGTGTCCCCCACAGAAGTGCTGCCCGCAGCGCACAGGAGCTCACTGCATTCCATTCACCTTCAGTTTTGTGTAAGGAGAACAGAATAACTGAGTGTCCCTACCCCAGAGGCTCTGTGCATGCCGATGGAAATCACCCATCAGATGAGGAACGGCTCCTTTAGGAAGCAGCTCACTGCACCCGCTCCAAGGAAATGCTGTGCAGATGAATGGCTGCTCGGCTCAGAAACCTCCCCATCTCCTAAATCCACACTTCACGGATTACCAAACAGGCTCACCAAACAGGCCAGGAGCCCAGGGCAGCAGCCCCATGTGGGAAGCAAGCTGCCCCTCCAGGAGAGCTATAAGGGCAGAGCAGAGGAACCACTGCCTGCACCAGGAGCTGGGAGCTGCTGCTTCCTTCTTGGCAAGGAATTGAATACAGCTCCTTAGGAAACGCGCCAGAATAAACACACATCATTTGTGAAGCAATCTGTATCTTAATAGAGCCTTTCTGGGACAGAATTGATCAGAGACTCGATGCACAGAAGCCAATGAAAAGACCTTCCAAATAATGTCCCCTTGGCAGCTGCTGAAGCACTACAAACAGTAATAAGACTCAGAGACTGACTTTTAGAACTCCCGATTAAGGTTTTCACTTCTTACTCAAATTCTACATTAGCCATTGCTTTATTTTTGCTCCAAATCATTATTGAGCACAGGACTAAAACCACCTCAAACACTTCATTACTCCCTATAACGTAACTGTCAACAAACCACTGTCTTTTCATCTGTTGCTTAACTACATTTATTTGCCTAACAGGAAATTTAGGAAATGTTTCTTTTGTATATTTCTTTCCTTCTGATCACAAACCAAGACATTGTTTTCCATTCATCTCTATTCTAAATCTCTCGATAAGCCATTAATCTTTTATTCCCAATTATTTTATTTTAGTATTTCTATTGTAAATATTCCTTTTTTTCCCCACAGAATTTCAGGAAATGGTGCAGTCTTAAAGGTTCAGAATGACCGAATAGGACAGAATTGGGATGAATCTGAAGAGAAACTGCAAACCCTGAAAATCAGCAGTCCCTTCTGCATTTCTCTTGGTAGTGGCTGTTATTTACTCACTGCATTAGAAACATAATGAAACACTGTTTTTTTTTTTTTCATCGTGTGGACCATTAACTCTGTTCTAAATTCTGCTTTCCCAGAAATTTCCCTTAAAAATACCCAATAAAATTTAATCACATACTGTGCTCGTGTCTGTTTTTCTGACCACTAAACTGAAACGTTTCGATTCTTAAATGAAAAATGATAATCTCTCAAAGACCTTGATCTCATCAGAGCCTCATATATGGCTGTGATTGACGCCAGTGGGCGTTCTGTCAACAATGAGCTCTCTGGATTAAGCTGGAATGCTTCAGCATTGCTGCAGTTTTGATGCATTTCTCCCTTTCCTGCAAACGACAACACTCAGAATTGACTGCTTTGTTTTCATCTCTGAAGGCTCTATAAATACTAGTGAAAGTGCAGGGAAAAAATTACTGAACAGGACTTGGTTATCGGATCTTCAGCAAACATACCAGGCCCTCTTCCCCCTCCCAACTTGTATCTTACGTGCATAACATAACAGTAGTGGAGAAATTCATCTTGGGCTCAGCTGTGCTCGTTATTGAAGCAAAAGCACTGAGGTACACCAAATTTCTCCTCTTCTTAGCATGAAGACACCAGACAGAACCACAAACAGACTCTATACTGATTCATCCTAATGCCTTCTCCACTGCCATTACTCGTTAGGGAGCCAAGTACGGCAGAACTGGCCAAGAATTGTCTGCTGCTCTACACACGTACATATTGCTCTACCACTCCAAACACCTGATGGTTACAAATAGAATTTTTGTCTCATTTCAGAACATTTTAATTCAGTTTAATTTAGTTCTTTGTACACTGGGATATCCAAGACACCTGAAAATTTAATATGGTTGTGACATTGTTGCTATTATTGTGCAAAAGTAACACTGATGTAAACTGATTAAAAAAATAACACTGAATTTGAACAATATCTCTTAAGATTAAGAAATATATTTCTTAAGAAACATTCTCACTCGGCATAACTCACTAGAGTATGGAGGCCTTAAAGGCACAAGGTAAGGATCTGACCCACGGAGGTTCTCCTAGCACAAGATGGATGTCACAGGAGATTCGCAAGAAATAAAGTTTGTTCTTGGCAATGCAATCAGTCTGATGACAGAAGAGTCTTGGACTAGTTCACATGTAGGCAACAAACAAACCACTCTCCGTTTCACTGACAATTAAATGTCCTGACCTTGACTAACCAGATTACATTAAGCAGGAAAATGCATGCCAAATAATTTTTTTCCAGTCGCTGTTGTTCTGTACTCTCTGTACAACATCTCAGCCCTCGCACTGCAGACCTAGACAAAGAAACACATGGGCAAAGGACAGCTCTGTTATTCTCCTCTGAGATGCAACACCTTGCTGGGGCAGGCTGCTGAACAGAAGGTGGACAGAAGATTCACACAGTGCCCTGATCCAAAACAGATCGATCAGTGAAATTAGCACCCTCCTCATTTTCCAGAAAGCAGAACATTTGGCAGTTCCCTGCATGAAAGGTTCCTGTAAGACTTCTGACCTACAAAACTTAGGATCAGTCAAGAGAAAAGAGGGAAATAACTGATGTACTGCTGTAATTCATCTTCAGAGCTGACATCCTATTACCTGTCTAGCCTTTTCCTCATCCTGTCTTCCGAGCTTTTCTTTCATGCATACTACAGACCTGGGCTACTAGCAAGTGCTGGGCATTCCTGTTAAACACAAGAAATAAAGCAAAACATTCATAATCTCGAGTTCCACATGAAAGTACATTTGTACTGCTATTCAGTGACCGTATTCTTAACCACAGCCAGAGCCAGTACAAAGCTACTGCCTTCCACTATGAAACCCCTGAGTCTGCAAAACACACACAACCATTATTAAACCATCTCCACTCACTGTGATGCTCCAACAGCTGCTCGCATTCCTTGACATCGCACTAAGAACAAATGTGGGGGAGATGAATGACTCTCTTGGGAAGAGGCCGGATCCCCACACAGAGCTGCAGGGCCTGGCACGTATTAACAAGGGGCACAGCACAGGGATACGCAGGCATTGTGCTTTTTGCTGGATCACAGCGCTGTTTTGTAATTTATTTGCTAAACTAATCCCAAACTGCTGAGTCTACACATTTGTTAACACATTTAGACCACATACTGCCAATGGAGCTGCTATTTGAGCTGTCAGCTGTACTTATTCACAGCTGTCAGCTCCAATACCCACAGTGATTTATACTGTATCTTTTTGTTAAGTCTGCTACTATGCAGCTGATGGAAATGCTCAGAACAGTACCTACAAACAGGCTCAACAGAGTATGGCTACATGTTCTTTTTTTCTTTTTTAGTAATAATTGGAAAGCAGTAATAAAGTTCTTAAGTATTTGTCTCTTGATGCCAGGGTTGTTCTCTGTCAAACGTCCATGTACTTATGCAGCAGTTTAATTTTACATCATCATGGGCTAGGAATCACATTTCAAACTCAGGGTGATTCGATGTCACTTTGCAAATGTGAAGGTGTGGTGTTACTGCACGTACAATTAAGAAGATGGCATGAAACTGGAACCTCAATTGAAGTTTCCTCCTGCCCTGTTAATTTGTTCATTAGAGATGTAATAATTTAAATTAATTGAATCTATTATCACTCACTCTTTGTAGATTACCACAAATACCCACACCGAGACCAGTATCACGTCGCAGCTGGGATTGCAGTGAGCAGCGCTGTATTTTAGCAATCGCTACAGGTGCATCCATTCCTTTCCGAGGGATGCTCGGCTCAGAACACCAGAGTGCCGTCAGAGCTTACAGTAAGGGCAGCCACCGCCCGCACACAGCCCGGACATTTCGTGTATGACAGCACTCGGTCCTCCTGTCCACGGGCAGCAGCTCCGCTCCGCCAAGAGCTGAGCGCGCCCAAAGGCAACCCCAGCACAGCACAGCGTAGCACAGCCCCGAACCCGCGGCCACTACCGCCCGTACGGCGCTGCTGCTGCTGCCGCCACGCCCGCGTCAAGCCGCGGCCCGGCGGCGCTGAGCTCTGCACCGCGGTTTCCGGCTGCACGCGCGCACCGGGCTCGAGCCGGGCTCGTGCCGCTTCGCGTGCTCCAGCCCGTGTGAGGCCGGCAGCTCGCCGCCCCGCGCCCCGCGCCGCCCCTCCGTTTTGTGCCGCCCGCCGTAGGACGCCGCGCGGTGGGACGGCGTTAAAGGACGTGTGAAGGCGGGATGGCGACAAGCGGTGACAACCGCGGAAAACGAACACGTGGCAAAAATGCCCGTTTGTTTCAGACTCAGCCCGGCACGATGTGAGAGCGCTTCCTGCCACACCTTCCCTACGAGACCACGTGGCACGTTACGTCTTTTGCCCCATACAGGAATTCATTTCATCAACGCGTCACTGATTTCTGCAAGTTCCCAGCCGCATACCTGTGCAGGGCGGTGACGCACCTCTTACCTAGCTGGCTCTACTTCTAAATTCGCACCGAAATTTGCTTCGGTTGGGTCTGGAAGTTCACAGGAAAGCACGAAGCGACGGAGCCCCGCCCCGCCGCTGGGGGCGCTGTGGAGAGAGACCCACGCCGGGCCCGGGAGCACTTCCGGGATGGCGCCGTGCGCTTCCGGGGAGGAGGGAGGAAGGCGGAAGTGCTCCCGGCCGGTGCCGGCGGAGGGCCGCGGGCTGCTCCCCGATGGTTTGTGGCGGCGGCCGGCCACAGGCGCGCTCGCTTCCGGTTCGGGATGGCGACGGCGGCGGCGGGCGGCGGCCAGGAGAAGCAGCTCGCTCCGACCCTGCTCAGTTTCTTTATCTACAACCCCAAGCTGGGGCCCAAAGAGGGAGAGGTACCGGAGGGGTGGGGAGAGCCGAGGGGGAGAGGAGCGGCTCGGCCCGTCTCCGCAGAGGGCCCCGAGGCGGCTGGGCTCGACCGCCCGGCTCCGAAGCCGTCCGGCAGTGCGTTCCCACCGGGTTGGCGCCTCGCCCCGCGGAGCCCCGCGAACAAAGGCGGCGGGGGCAGCGCGGCTCCGTTCTGCGTCCGCTCCGGGAGGGACGGCAGCCGGGGCCGTCTCAGGGCAGCCAGTGAAATACTGCGGCCGAGGGCTGAGCTGTTGGTGTTGTGTCAGGGATGATAACTTTATCCATCGCGCTGTAACTTACTAGAAAACTTGGCATAGTCCAAGTTATTGCCAGCAGCGTTTTCATGCTACTGTCGCCTTTAATTTTAGTAAGCAATTAAGTTTTTAGGTGATAAAATTGCAGGGTTCATATGACTGTCTTCACTTTCAGAAGTGTTTTGGCACAAGGCTGCATCCTCACACACTGTGTATTTATTAATGACCCAGTAATGAGGCTGAATGCTTCCTCACCAAATCCCAGAACTGAGGGAGCTGCTCAGAGGGATGCTCGGCAAGGCAGGGGTTTGGGCGAGCAGAAACCTCCCAAAGGTCAGCAAAGGCAAATGCAGAGAGCTACGAGTGGGGCAGAGCTGCCTCGTGCAGCACGACAGGCCGGGGGCTGTCTAGTTGGAAAGGAGCTTTGCGGAATGGGACCAGGGAGTCCCAGTGAGCAGCAGGTTGCATATGAATCAGCAGTGTGCTCTTGTGCAAATGGATGGCGTCCTGTGCTGTGAGAGTGTATTGGCAGCCAGACAAAGCGATTGCTTACCCTGTTTGTGAGCATGGAGATCCTTTGGTACTTCCCAGAGTAGGAAAAATATTGACAAACTGGAAGATGAAGGGCCACCGGGTTGGTCAGGGGGCTGCAGTGTGTGATATACAAGGAGACCCCCAGAGAACTGAGACCGTGCAGCCTGAAGAACAGCACGTTGGAAGGAGATTGATAGCTGATTTCTCCTGGTTCAGAGGTGGTTATAGAGAGAACAGAGCCAGGTTCTTGAAGATGCACAGGGAAACAATGGGAGGCAATAGAAGAAGTTGCAGCAAGGGAACTTCTGATGAGCCAGAAGAAATTCTTCACATTGAAACGATCAAACACCAGAACAGATCCCAGAAAGGCTGTGGAATCTCCAGCCTTGAAGATGTTCAGAACTTGACTGGCCCTGGGCAGTTGGAGCTAGCTCTGAAGCTGGCCATGCTTTGATCTGGCTTTGAAACTAGCCTTGCTTTG